ATAACAATCCCCAACCAAAACAAAAAACCCACTAATAACAACAACAACAAAACAACAAAAACAAACAACTGTACAAAACACACACACACACACACACACAAACACATACACACACACACACACACACACACACACACACACACACACACACACACATACGAACACGAACGCGCACACACACACAACATCCCATTAAAACAAACACACATAAAAACACAATAAGATTACCACAAGCGAAAAAACCTCCCAAAAACCAACAACCCCAAAAACACATCGATCATCTGATCATTAATCCCTCCATCAAAGAAGATCAACGTGTATACGGAGCAACAAATTCGCCCCTGCTGAGAGCACACTAGTAGCCCGACACTTTGAACCCAGCGGGAATCTATCTCATCCTTGTGTTTCCACTTTCCACAACACCACGTCCTTTTGAAGTTTTGATCCACACAATGTACGACAATACAGACCCCTGCGAGGAAGCTACGGGGGCTACTAAGTGTACTGTTTAGAAATAGTATTAATCGACAAAGCAGAGTGCCTTTCAACCACCCGTACTGACAAAACGTAAAGTATATTCACCCCCCCCCCCCAACACACACACACATAGAAACCTACCCCTATTCCCCTTATAAAATAAAAAAACAACACCCGCAAACTTGAAAAACAAAACAAAAACAAATCAAAACCCCCAAAACGGAGTATCCAAATGACACACGTATCAAACATAGTTTAGTATGGGGTTTTACAACGATCGCAACTGCATAAGTCACGTATCAAACAAACTAAATGTTTTAAAAGGTACTCACTGAAGCACCTCCTGGTTGAAAGGGTTCTGCAGGTTGCCCAAGAACTCGCCGATCATCTGTTTGCTGAGTCCCTTCCGGGTGGTGAAGAAGCGAGCCACGCTGTGGGCGGACCCCTCGAGGAACAGGTTGTCCAGGAGAAAGTCCAGGCCGCGCTCCGGTTTCCTGGGAGGGAGGGTAAAATGTGGGTAATGTATTTGGTTTGTTTGAGTAAAATGAAGCACATCGATATATTAATAATCAGTGCAGGGAAGAAGCAAGACTGACAGAGACACAGAGGTACAGTAAAGAAGTATGATCTACCATTGGCGTCCTCCAGCCACCAGCCAATTAGGTCATATGAGTACCGAAGATTATAGAAAAAAAAATGAAATGGTATAAGTTTAACGCCTTTATCAACACTATAATGTTAATGAAGAGGCAGGACTTGCGAGTTTAACTTCCATCTTCGAAAAGACCAAGCCAAAAAATAGGAACTTCATGTAAAGTACCCTTCCCATTGACAAAACGTCGGACCGAGCTGAGGCTCGAACCACCGTACTCGCAGTCTCATGATGACGGGTCCAGTAGCCCAACTACAAGGCCACCGACGCTACTCCGAAGATTAGAGGTTTTACAAGAGATAACAAACACAAAAATGGATGCGAGATAAGGACGATAGGTGTTTGCTACGAAAGAAGAAGCAAACAGGAAGGAAGAAGCAAACCACACCAGAGCATCCGCGAACTGCCCACCCTCTCGAAACACAGTATGTCAAACTCATAGATATCTGAGATGATGGTCACTGGTACTTTAAACATCTGCATTGCCCATGAACTGATACAGTTGTCAAATCAATGATTTATTACTGCATTCTGGGTTCAATTTCCACTGACCGACTACCGATATGGTAATTTAATTCTCAAAAAGGATTACATTACAGAAAAGGGGTAATAAACATGCTCAATTATGACAGTTTGGAACCGCTCCACACGACACACAAAACCAATTCTGAAATACAGTAAATGGGAGAAATAGGAAAAGTGAGTTGGGAGCAAGTGTGTGTATGTGTGTATGTGTATGTGTGTATGTGTATGTGTGTGTGCGCGTGTGTGAGTGTGTGTGTGTGCGTGAGAGAGAGAGAGAGAGAGAGAGAGAGAGAGAG